GTGGACACGCGCGAGACCGCGTAAGCCGACGGCGTACAGGAGCAGTGCCGCTACCGCGTGTCACGCTCTGTAGTCGCCCGTCTACTTCCTGGACTTTGCGCTCTTCTACGCGCTGTCCCTGGGCCTGGCCACCGTGTCCTATGCACTCATAGCACGCGTCCTCTTCGCGGGGCCGCTGCCTCCTGGTGACTGGGGACGATCGGGCTCTGTGCACCAGGGCGGCCCCGCTGGCCAAGGGCGCTTCTCCTCCCGAAAGCAGGTAGGGACGTCCCTCCTCATTCGGACCCCTGTACTGAGCCAGCAGCAGATTGGTGGATGGAACCTTGGGCCCTCCTAGAGTCAAGCTCAAGTTCAAGTCCAGGTGGTGCCACTTACTCGGCTTGTTTTTGGCGACATCACTTCTGAGCGTTTCTGAGCCTCCGTTGCCTCTCCTGTTGTATGAGGTAATGGCACAGAAATGGCATGATTCATTTAGAGTCAATGTCACAAACTAAACGCTAAATTCATCTTGGTTTGTTATTAAACTTCCTCAGTGAGTCCCTACACCGTAGCTGTTATTCTGTTTCTTCTACTGATGGGGAAAGTGAGGCTCAGAGAGGTGAAGTGACTTTCCCAAGACTATACTACGCCATCTGGCGCTAAAACTGCCCCAATGGACCGGGACAGTCTGAAAGCCCAAGAGGATGGGTTCTGGGGAGATCGAGAGAAATTCAGCATTTATTAAGCACTTACTGTGTGCCTGATTCTCTGATGGTTCCTGATAGTATCCCTATTTGGGAGGTTTCATACTTATTTTTATGGACAAGTATACAGGCTTAGAGGGGACAAGGGAGCGACAGAGGCGACACTGTAAGGGAACTGCGTGCAGGAACGCATGTGTCCAGGCTCCTCGTTCCCCCACCCCACCCCCTCATTCCAGCAGTGCAGCCTCCCAAGGGTTTTCTAAGAATGCAGGTGGGAGGAGCGCTCTCTGGGCCCAACTGGCCTTTATCTTCAGCCTTCCACCCCCAGCCTTCCTGGATATATACTATAGAAGGCTTTCTCACATTTAAAATGCTCATTGGGTATACTCCCCGGTGTGTGTTCTGATGCTGAGCAGGAAAAACAGTAGGGAGAATAAGGGACTATACACCTCTGGTGTTCCTAAGAGAAGTTTAGGAGAAAGATAAGGATTTGGGAATCATTAGCATTTTGGTGGACACCTCATAGTCTGTAATCTTCGCTTCTCATCTATAGTCTTCGGTGAAATTCATATGCACCTTTTCTTTTTGTATTAACGGTTCCTAGCAATCAACCAAGCTGAGTAAGGACAACAGAGGCTCCTCTAAGGAGCCCTCCGTTGTGGGCGGTGGCCGCGGTGCCTTATGGGGAATGTAGTCCGGAAAAGCGTCGACCGCCCTTTGGAAAACCTGGGAAGGACGGCCCGGCGGCCTCTTCTGCGCATGTGGGGCCTCGGCTTTCTACGTGGGCGCGTCTACTTGTTCTCTAGGCTTTTCCCGCGGCGGGTCCTGCAGCCTACGGGGCGCGGCGTTCCGTGGTCACCTGGGCCTGGTGAACTGGGAGCGAAGCGGGTGCACCCACAAGTTAAATGACTGGCGGGGAGCTCCGAGCCCTCGGGGGCTGGAGGGGAAGTGGCTGGGCGGAGCTGGCCTCGGTCCTCGGAGAGTGGATGCGCGCTCTCCCCGCATCCCTCTCCAGGGAGGCCCGGAGCCGGGTTTCCCATGGTCCCGGAGAAGGGGAGCGAGGGCCGGGCTCCTGACCTGCAGGCCTCATGGCGGGCGCTCCCTGCAGCCCTTCATTGCCTGAAGAAGGTGCTCTGTGGAGGTGCAAGGTTTGTACATCCAAATGGCTAAAATCTGATCCCCAAAGTTCCGCTGAGGCGCTTGGATCTGCAGCCTGCTGGGCTGGGTTGAAGAATACTGGAGGACGTTAGGGAAGGGAAGGAATATTTATAGAAACAAATATGGTGATCATTATATTAGTTATTTTATACTAAGCATTTATTAAAAGAAAGATGTGAGCTTCAGTTGAAGAGAATGGCCAGGGTGTAGATATGACTGGAAAAGCTTTCAGGGGGCTGGCGCTGGGGGGTGTTGTCTGCAGCGCTGCATGAGGTTTTAAGAGCCTGATGTTTGTGTTCAGACCAGGTGCTGCCACAGAACAGCACTGCATCCCAGGGCATGTTATTTCATCCTGTTTTCTCATCTCTAAAATGAGCCTAGGAATAATATTTGCCCCATAGGCTTGTTCTGAAGTAAAAAGTAAGCCCAGAATATAATACACCCTCGACACGTATCCCTTGCAATCAGTGTTACAAAGATTTTTAGATATCTCCCTCAGTCCTCCCAACCAGGCTGTGAAGTCGGCATTACTGCCCCCTGTTGGAGCACATTTTAAAACCTCATTTACAGAGAGCTAAAGTGATTTATTCTCTGGTGACTGAGTTGATTTTAAAATGAAGTCTATTTTACTCCCAGTCTCATGATCTTTGTAATATGCATTCGCCTCTGCCTACACATTGGGTTTTTTCTGGCATGATGACTTGCCTTCTGTGTGCCCTAGAAAGCAGTTATACTATGTATTTTGATAAACCATTGGGCCTATTTTTCTTAGGTCACAAGGCGTAATCGAGGCTTCTAGGCTCTTTCTGCCTCCTGCGGTATTGTCTCACTTCTCAGCAGCCTTGATTGGATTTTAGGAAAGGTCCAGCTCACCAGGCACTTGAACCTTGGGACCCCAAGTGCAGATTCCAGCTAATGGAAAAGTGGCCGCTACGCCCAGGTGGAAACAAAACCATCCCAGTGAAGGAAAAAGCAGAAGGCGCCAAGGACAGAAATCACACCTGGAAGAACATGTTTCTGAAGTGAAATCTCTCCCTAGGATTTTAAGGCCAAGACAGAATTCCTGAAAGGAGCATATTCAAGAGTTACTGGACCAGGGGCTTCCCTGCTGGCGCAGTGGTTGGGAGTCCGCCTGCCGATGCAGGGGACACGGGTTCGTGCCCCGGTCCGGGAAGATCCCTCATGCCGCGGAGCGGCTGGGCCCGTGAGCCATGGCCGCTGAGCCTGCGCGTCTGGAGCCTGTGCTCCGCAACAGGAGAGGCCACAACAGTGAGAGGCCCGCGTACCGCAAAAAAAAAAAAAAAGAGTTACTGGACCAGAATTTTCCTGTCCAGGGTGAGCAGAATCTGGGTGATCATACTATATTCAAAGACCATTGATTATTGTGACTCAGCAAAGCCTCAGTTCAACTTTCAGAAGAAAGATGTGAGTTGCAATGGAAGGGGAAGGGCAGGGTACAGATTTGTCAGGAAAAGACACTTCATTGGAGGATTGGTGAGGCTGTGAGTTGGAGGCAAGGGGTACCAGGCATAGCTAAGGAGATTACTTCCTAAACACATACTTGTCATTCCCTGCAATCTCCACTCTGTCTTTTTTTTTTTTTTTTAAGATTTTATTTTCATTTATTTATTTATTTTTGGCTGCACCAGGTCTTAGTTACGGCATGCATGCAGGATCTAGTTCCCCGGCTAGGAATTGAACCTGGACCCCCCTGCATTGGGAGCATGGAGTCTTCCACTGGCCCACCAGGGAAGTGCCCTCCACTCTCTGATTCTGAGTTGCTGGAACCACGGTTCTCACCTGCTCATGTCATTTCAACTCACTTGATGCAGTCTTGTGTCTGCCGCCACCACACTCATGAATCTGTTCTAGTAAATATTTTCAAATCCAGTGGGTATTTTCCAGTTCATCCTTTACTAAACTCTTTGTTGCATTTGACAGTTTGACCACACCTTCCTTGAAATGCATCAGTGAGAACGTCTCTGAAGCCACAGATAAAGATACACTTAGAGAGTTGTCACTTTCCCCTCATCCCATTCTACCCCATTCCTGTCGCCCCCATTCTTTCCAACTATTCCCACCTGTCCCCTGAAGGTAACCAGTTTCTTTGGTTTCTGGTCTACCCTTTCTGTATTTCCTTTTGTACACATAAGCAGATACATGTGTATTTTCTTACATCCCCTTTCTTACATAAAAGGTAGCATACTATAGATACTCCTTCTCACTTACCAATATAGCCTGGGAATCACTCCATATTGGTCCATAGAGATCTTCCCCGTTATTTATGCCTTCTAATATTGCTTTTGGTCACCACTCTCTCTTCTGAGCTTCAGAACCAAATATCCAGCTGCCCACTGGACATCTCTACTTGTATCCTTCACAGACTCGAGCATGGCATCTGAAACAGCAATGCGTCAGTTTCCTATGCTCAATTCTTTTGTTTTGGTTTTGTTTTGTATTCCTAATCTCAGCATATGATGCTACCAAAATGATCTGGAACAAAATAATCTGCACATTATATCTCCCATGCACAACCGATTAGTGGCCAACTCCTCTGGCTCCTCATCATGGAGGATTGATTCCCTCCTTCCCACCCCTACCAGAGCTGCCTGTGGTCATGTCTCACCGTGGCGTCCTAGTTCTCTTCCCCTCTAATCTGATCTTTAATCCATTTCCCATTTTTCTAGAGTTGGGGACAGCAGACATTTTCTGTAAAGGACCAGATAATAACTACTTTTGGCTTTGCCGGCCCTATGGTCTCTGTCAAATCAACTCAGCATAGCTGCTGTAGTGTGACAGCAGTATAGATAACGTGCAAACAAATGGGCATGGCCGGATTTGGGTCTTAGTGGGTTGGATTAGGCTCACAGGCTGTCGTGTGCAGACCCCTATGCTCTGGAGCATTGCTTCCCAAATGCAAATTTGATCACAAATCTTAATAGTCCTTGCTGACAAACATCTCTATGGATTTCCATGATCACAACAGTGGTCTCCAAAGTGGAGGATGGGGGCACCCCAGGGATCCACTGGGCTTCTGTTCACCTCAGACTAAACGTATTCTTTCAGAGATTGGTTTCATTCAAGGACCTGACTGCGGACTTCACCCAGGAGGAGTGGCGGCACCTGGACCATGCTCAGAGGCTCCTGTAGAGGGATGTGATGCTGGAGAACAACCGCATCTCGGTGGGTAAGTACAGCTTCCCTGTGTAACTACCAAGAGATGTGTTTGCTCTGTGTTGCAAAAACATGTTGAATTTCATTATTTAGCCTTGAGTGTCAGGGGAGAGAGATGATTAAACCCTTTGAGGCAATGTTAGCCTTGTGCTTGGGCTCACTGCCCTCCCTCCACCCTTCCCCTGAATGTTCTAGCTCTAATGACCTGTTGCTGGACATCTTCATCACACAGCTTTTGAAGCTGTCTTTCTTCATCCTTCAAGTCCCCAAAGTCCAAAGGGCTTGGTCCAAGTTCTATATCATTTTAACAGAGTATCAACGTTAGCAAACCAGATGTGATCTTCAGACTGGAGCAAGGAGAAGAACCATGGACAGTAGAGGAATTCTCAAGTCAGAACTACTCAGATGAGTGATAACTAAGCAGGTGGAAACCAGTGGAAATGAGAGTTCTATGGTGGTTAGTGAGTGTAGTTGGCATCTTTGCAATGTTCCTCAGGAATCTCTTTTTATAGGCCCCAGACCTTGGGAAGTAACTGAGGGCAAATGACTGTCATGCTATAGATACTTAAAAACATTGTCCCCAAATAAATGTACTTCTTTTTTTTTTAATTTTTATTTATTTGTTTGCTTGTTTATTTATTGTTGGCTGTGTTGGGTCTTTGTTGCTGCGTGCAGGCTTTCTCTAGTTGCGGCGAGCGGGGGCTACTCTTGGTTACCACGCACGGGCTTCTCATTGCGGTGGCTTCTCTTGTTGTGGAGCACAGGCTCTAGGCACGTGGGCTTCAGTAGTTGTGGTGCACGGGCTCAGTAGTTGTGGCTCGCAGGCTCTAGAGCACAGGCTCAGTAGCTGTGGCACACGGGCTTAGTTGCTCCGTGGCATGTGGGATCTTCCCGGAGTAGGGCCCGAACCCATGTCCCCTGCATTGGCAGACGGATTCTTAACCACTGCACCACCAAGGGAAGTCCTAAATGTACTTCTTTAATCGAAATTTATAAAGATTTTTGCTGCTAAGTTATCCATCCCTGGTATACAGACCTTCTTTTAGCGTACTCTTAAATTTAGTTCTGTGGCATTCTCTTTTGCCTACCTGACCCCACCTTCCTTTAACATAGACTTGCTGTATATTCAGACATTCATAGGTCAGTCTTAAAAAAATAAATCTTGCTTGATTTACACAATCTATTTGCAAATCTAGTTGCATTCCACGTTTCTCTCCATCCTTTAACTGAGAGATCAGTTTCACTCTCCACGCTCAGCCCCACTACGGGGGGACTAGGGTGAGACAACCAAGGTGCCTCAGATACAAAACTTAAGAAGACACTCACTCTTGGGGTGGTGCAGGTGCCCTAGAGGTCACACCTACCTCACCCTACTTCCAGCCCTGCTCAGCCCACAATCTTTCTTTCTATTCTTTGTATTTGTACAAATTCTGAAGTTCCCATGTCGCTGGCAAAATTTGAGACTCACCCCTTCCTCTGTGTCTCTTTGTAGCTCTGACCATCTCTCTGAAGTCTGTTGTGCTGGTCTCACTGTCTCTGAGTGCTTCCTTGAGTCTCATCTGTCTTATTCAATACTGTGTCAGACACACTTGCAGTATACTTTGTGCTTACTGTTCCTTGTGACTGTTTTCCTTTTTCCATGGCAGAGGTACTCGTATTCTTTGCTACTTTCCTCTTCCTTTCATCCTGTTAAACAGACTGGTGTGGGTGGGCTGGCTTCTTTTCTATTGTTTGTTTTTTTCTTTCCCCCAAATCAGTCGGAGATGTTTGTATTTGACATTTCCTTAATCCTGAAGAGCTGGGCCAGTCCAACAAGGCATTTGTAAGGAACTCTCATTTCATAGCAAGTGTGTCACGGATCACAAGTTATTATTAATGGTACTCCCTCCTAGAAGCTGATGATGCCTTAAAGGAGGACAAGGAAATCCAAGGCAAACATTTGAGGCAAATTGTATTCTTCTGCAATAAAACACTGATTACAGAGAGAGCTACTGTATTTGGGAAAACATTTAATCTGGGCATGAATATTGTTCCCTCAAGAAAAACACCCTACAGATATCCATGTGGAAACAATTTAAAAACTAATTCAGAAGTAATCGTTGCAAAGAAAAGCTACTTTAAAAAGGTTCCTGATGAATACAGTAGATGTGGGAAAACGCAACTCGTTTCTAAGCAAGAGAAAAGTCGTTCTGGAATGAAACAATACAAATATAATCCAGTTAGGAAAGCCAGAAGTCAAAATGAAGATTTGATTCTGCACCAGAACATTCAGGCTTTGAAGCGACCTTTTGGCTATGGAAAATGTGGGAAAACCACTTCAAGAGGGCAGTCCTCTTCACATAGAAGAGGATACATTCTGAAAGGAAACCAAGTTAATGTAATGAATGTAGGAAAACCTTTTCTAAGAAGTCCACCCTCATTGTACACAGAGATTTCATACAGGGGAGAAACCCTATGTTCGTAATGACTGTAGGAAAACTTTCCGTGTAAAGACGAACCTTACTCGACACCAAAGAATTCATACTGGAGGTCGACCCTATGAATGAAGCGAATGTGGAAAAACCTTCACTGACAAATTGGCCCTCGTTGTGCATCAGAAGATTCAGAGGGGAGAAATCCTATGAGTGTCATGAATGTGGGAAGACCTTTTTTGGGAAGTCAGTCCTCACTGAACATTTCAGGTCACACGCGGGAGAAACTTTACGAATGCAAAGAATGTGGGAACACCTTCAACAAGAATCTTACCTCGCTGTTCATCAGCAAACTCACAGAGGAGAGAAACCAAATGAATGTGGGAAAACCTTCTGTCATTCAGCCCTCAATGTGCATCAGAGATCTCACACAGGAGAGAAACCCTATGAATGCAGTCAGTGTGGAAAAAATTTGTGTACTAAAGCAGCCCTCACGGCACATTAGATAACTCATAGAGGAGAGAAATCTTACCTATGTAACAAATGTGGGAAATTTTTCTGCCATAAGTCAACACTCACTATACATCACAGAACTCACACTAGAGAGAAACGCAGTGTGTTTAATAAATGTGGTAGAACATTCACTGTGACGTCAAACCACAGTGAATATAAGAGAGTGCACACAAAGGGGAATCTTTATGAGTGCAACGGACGTGGACACGCCATCAACAAAAACTCACACATCAAGCATCAGAGAACTATATGGGAGAGACCATATGAATGTAGCGAGTATGGGAGAGGCTACTGCCGGAAGTCGGCCCTCACTCGCCATCAGAGGACACACACAGGAGAGAGACCCTATGAGTGTAATGAATGTGGGAAAACCTTCCACCAGAAGTTCTCCCTTGTTCAACACCAGCGAACTCACACTGGGTAGAAGCCGTATGAATGTGCTGAACGTGGGAAATCCTGCCATAAGTCAGCCTTCAGAGTACATCGGAGAATTCATATGGGAGAGAAACCCTAGGAATGTAACAAGTGTGGGGAAGCCTACCATCGGCTGTGGACTCTCACTGAACATCAGAAAATACACACAGGGAGAAACCCTATGAGTGTCACGGATGTGAGAAAACATTTTGCCACAAATCAAACTTCCTGCTACATCAGAAAACTCAAAAGGAATGAGCTCCGAGAAGGCGGTGATCAACAAAGGAACAAATCAAGTAATTTACACAATGCTAAAACTCTGTGGATAGGCATAGAGGAGTGAATTGTATAAACACAATTAATGTGAGAAAACTTTCAGCCATAAATCAAACCTCATTATCACATCAGAAAACTCACACAGGAGAATAAAATAGAGTGTGTTTAATAAGTGTGTTGTAACATTCACTAGGCACCATGAAAACGTTCAACAATTCAAACATTATGCCACGTGTGCCTCCCTTTTAAAATAATGAAAGAGATGATGTTTAAGTTAATCTGTTCCTTTCCACATTGTTGTGTGACAGTATGTTTGAGGAGCTAACCTTATTTCATTCTACATCAAAACCAACTGTTCCTATGATAATTTAGTAGCTTATAATTTCCTAATTTATGGTGCTTTAAATTCTCAGATTGAACAGGTTGGGTTTTGTCTTCTAACTCTGTCTCCATAGCCTTCTAGTAATGGACCCAAATCCCTTCATCTGCAGAGGTGGTAATAAGGGGACTAACCGTGGTATTCCATCCTCCTGGTTCCACATCCTGCCTGCATGATGGAACCTCCATAAAAACCCCAACAGTATGGGGTTTGGAGCTTCCACATGGAGGTGCTGGGAGAGTGGCTTCCCCAGGAGCTGCATGCCCCTTCCCACATACCTTGCCCTACGCATGTCTTCCATCTAAATGTTCACCTGTATCCTTTATCATATCCTTTTATAATAAACTGGTAAACAGCAAGTAAACTGTTCACCTGAGTTCTGTGAGTTGCTCTAGCAAGTTAATCAAACTCTAGGAGAGGGTCACGGGAACCTCTGATTTATAGCCAACCTGTCAGAAGCACAGGTGACAACCTGGACTTGGGATTTGAAGTTGGGGTTGAGGGGCAGTCTTGCGGGACTTGTACCCTTACCCTGTGGGATCTGACACTATCCCCAGGTGGGTATAGTCAGAAATGAGTTAAATTATAAGACACTCAACCAGTATCACAGAATTGCTTGGTGTGGGAGAAAACCCACACATCTGGTGTCACAAGTGTGAATGTGGTGGTAGTGTGGGATAAAGGAGAAACACAGGAGAACTGAGTTTTTCCTGCACACAGGGGTTAAGACTTCAGTGTATCTTTTGGAGCGACTCACATCAACCTACAACACCCTGTTGGATTCTGTCCTCAAACATGTGACAGTGGATTTAAATAAGGAATTAATTATTAAAAGCAAAAAAAGGAAGTTGTGCACACTATGTTAGTGTTTAGATGACATTTTAAGCCTCTATATAAGCATTTCTATCTTCTCTCTCCACTTATACCGACAACTCTATTATTTGCTTAAACAGTAGAAATATCTTATGTGTTTTAATATTAAAATCCGATAGGAAATTAAGATTTTTCAGCTGAAACTTGCCAATGAGAATGTCTTGAATGGCCTAACTTTTGCATAATGACTATCCTTTTATCCTTTTTATTTTCATATAATTAGAGACTTTTGGCTTATAATTAGTGATAGTTCCCAGGAAACATAGCAACAGATATAAAAAGAATATGTTAGACATTGCTTATTGGAATCTAGGCTTCTATTGAGTCTGGTGTTAGCAAATTTGGAATACTAGACTTTTCAGTACAAGCTGTTCTGTTCTATTAAGCTTCTTTCTTTTCTCCTTATAATACAGACTTTACAGTTAGGGGCCATGTTGGAAATTCTTAATGTTTTTAAGCACATAAAATAATTCCTGTTAAATTTGACTCTAAACCAGAATTTTAAGGACCAAAATTAGGAGTAATTGCCAAAATTTCCCCTCCTTATTCCAATAACCATTTTACATTTTTATAATTGTATTTATAACATTTATTTTGCACTCATTTTAAAACTTATTTCAGTTGCATTTTCAGCTCATATGTAACTTAACAGACACATTATAGTTTTATAGGTTATTTGCAAAAAGTGAACTTATGTACACACCTTTTCTTAGAGATAAAAAGCACACAAGGAACGATCTTGAGACGAGGGGCCACATCTGGGGATTACAACAATTTAGCTCTGTGGTAGCCACTATTATACTCTAATATCTGGGAAAGCAGAGGTCAGAAAGATGAGAAGATGACCCTCGAAGAAACAGTGTTGTCTTTCCATCACTTTCTATGGATTGAGGCCAGTCCTAAAGAGACTTGTTAGACTACGCCCATCCCACTTGGCCGAACAGGGTTAAGCTGCCACCAATGATTATGGGAACCAATTCAGGAAAGTGTAGATTTCTGACACAAGACCTGATTGTATCCAGCATTACACACCAGTATTAGCATGCACTAGAAAACTTATGAGTTAGTCATCAGGGAATACAGGAAATCAACTTATTACAGATAACACTATGAGTCATAAATTCTCCAAGTCCTGAATCTAAGTCCTAGAATTGTTGCAGTCTCTCCATCTCCTCTTTGTTCTCCAGATACATCCAAGAATTTGGGGAGGCTGGGTGTCTCTGAGTTGTTTTCATTTAGAACAGGAGCAGAAACTGTCTTCTCACCACTGACCCACAAACTTTGGATTTCTCATGTCTACCCTCTTAACTCTTTATCCTTTAGTTTTTTAAATAGTGACCCACTTTTTGTTTTTCATTGTTCACTGGCAAAGTTTCTTCTTCTCTGAAGTTTTAATTCCAAAGAGATGGCTTTTTTTTCCCTTACTTACACTTAGGTTAGGGTTGCATCCTCTCCATGCAAAAGTTTACACTTTTAGAGAGCTACCTCTATTAAAAATATGACTTTATTCACCCAGTGAAAATAGATTATGAACAAACAGCAAAACGAATCTGTTCTTTTTACTACACCCTTGGAGCTGCCTTTTAGCCTACTTCCCATCATAGGAACTGCCTTATTCAGCTTCACGTTTTGCTTGAGCATGTTTAACTATTTTTGCTCAAAGATTTGAGTCAATTATGATATAGAAAGTACATCTCTGATCACATCTTCCCGTTTCTTCAACATGTATTTAAATTTCTAAAATATTCCATACAGGATGAATTCATGCAGAAGAATGGGCTTTGGTTAAAACCCTTTCCACATTCATCTCTTTGGTTTAGATTTTTGATTTCTAGTAAAAGGTAAGTGATTTCTAAGTGCCTTCCTGCATCTTCTATAGTCTTAGGGTTTCTTTTTATTATGAGTTTTCAGATGTCAAGATACAGAGTTTAGATGGAAAGCTTTTCCACATTGATTACATATGAAGGGTTTCTCTCCAGTATGGATTTTCATATGCTTACTAAGGTTTGAACTGTGGTTAAAAAGCTTTTGACACTCACTACATTTATAGGGCTTCTCTTTAGTATGAATTTTTTTATGTCGGTTAAGATCAGAGTAATAGCGAAAGGTATTTTCACATCTGTCGCATGTAAAGGGCCTGTCTTCAGAATGAATTTTCTGGTGTTTAATAACATTTGACTGATGTTTAAAGGTTTTTTCACAAACATTACATTTGTAGGGTCTCTCTCCAGTATGAGTTCTTCGGTGTCGCGTTAGATCTGAGAAACGGACAAAGGTCTTTTTACAGTTATCACAGATGTAAAGTTTCTCCCCAGTGTGGATTTGTTGATGACGATTAAGATCTATGAGCTGGGTAAAGATCTTCTCACATTCATTACATGAAAAGGGCTTCTCTCCAGTATGAATTTTCTGATGTTTGTTAAGATTCGATTGGCTTTTAAAGGATTTTTCACAATCATTACATTTGTAGGGTCTCTCTCCAGTATGAACTCTTTGATGTAAGAGAAACTGAATATGGATTGAAGTCCTTTCTGCAGTGATTACATGTGTAATATTTCTTTCTAGTACGAGTTTTTTGGTGTTGAATTTTTTCTGAGAAACTGTGAAAGGTCCTTCCACAAAATGTACGGACAAAGAGTTTCTTTTGTGGAGGAATTCTTTGATGCTGAGTCAGATGTGATCTCTTGCCAGCATGAAATCTCTGATGTGTAATAAGGGATGAAAGAAACCTGAAGGCCCTCGGACACACATCACACTTGTGTGGTTTCAGTCCGCCGTGTGTGCTCTGTTGTTGAATAAACATTGAAGCCCTGTTAAAGGTTTTGCCACATTGGTTACATTCAAGGTGTTTATCCAGAATGTAAATTCTTTGGACCACTGTAAATGATGCGGGATGCCTAAAGTCCTTTGTATTTTCATCGTATCTGTGGGCTTTCTCTACCTTGTGAATTCGCTGGTGTTCAGTAAGTTGTGACCTATAGCTAAAAGCCATGCTGCAGTCACCACATTCATAATGCTGAACAAAAGTGGAAGGTTTTTGATACTTTGCATGGTGAGAGCTTTGCCTGAAGGTATTCATAGATTCATAAAGGGCATGATAATTCACCAGTGATGGTTGACATGCTAATGGGAAGACAGTATGAGAAAAAGAAAATTAAATCCAGGCATCACAACAAATGAGATCACTAGTTAGTGGGGTAGCAGGGAGAGAAGGGTTCAGTGACTGAGGACTTTGGAGGGGTAGGAGGAGAAGTTGGAGTTTGTCAGGGGAAGAATGAGAGAGGAGTGTTCTCCAAGTACAAGGATAATTTAAGTGAGCAACGTGTATCCAGTGAAAAATTTCTTTCAACTTGAAATACTTAATATTTGTAACTGAAAAATGACTCGTTGAAATTGTAATCACCAAAACAGAACAATTTAAAGACTCTAAAAAGAGCCACATGAAATTCTAAGCAAGGATTAAAGTTTTATTTTCACTAAGGTCCTTTAAAATCTCTCTCTATAGATACAGCAATTTGTGAAAGTGATTATACTTTAAATACTTTGAACAAAAGTGGGGATTTCTCTATGAGTAAATATTAACCTGGTTTATCAATTTTACTAATATTTAATATTTTACTTTATGACAGGGTTATTATTGATTGGGCCAGTGCTCTACTTGGATATTTGAGTTCTGTTTATTTTTGTTGTTGCCGAGAACACTAAGAACAATCATATATACACATCTTTTTTAATTTGTTGAAATGTATTCTAGGCATAGATTCTTAGAAATGAAAAGGAGTCCTATTTTTTTGTGTATACACACACCACACTCAAGTAAATTCTTATATTGCATGAGCACATCTTTACTTTCTAGTATCTTGATAACCCTAGACTCTATCAAACTTATGACCCCACAGTTTGACAAAAAGATAATTTCTAGCATTTATTTTTTTGGGTAATAAAGAAATCTAAATGAAAATGGGTTAATTGCTAGGAAAATTTTCTAATTAAAAAGGTTAATTAACAATGGAAAACTAGCATGTGTTTCTTTTACCCTCATCATT